CTGGGAATTCTGCTTTCAATAATGGAAGAGTAGCTGCTATCAAATAAATCCTGCCATCAGGAATAACTATAAACTCCATAATTAATTGTAAATAAATCAACTACCTGAAATCACAAGAAAGTGAACAAAAGCAGACGAAAACTGTAGGGGAAATCAACACACGGGCAAAGCAAATGGCCCTGGGAAATTCCCAGCCCTTTGCCCCCCACTTTTAAATTGATTTTTGAGAGCATGCTGCAGCAGGAATGGTAAAACTCAGACAGAAATTCAATTATTAATATTTGCTCAAAGAACCAAAGGATAGAGTTTGGGATAATTACAGTATCTGGAAAGCAAGAAGGGAGGTTCCAGAAAGTAAAAAAAAAAAAAAAAATTCTAGCTAAAAGGACTCAAATCACTAGTTGATGCTGGAATTTCACATACATGAGGTCTGTCTCAAAGGAGCCCAGCTGACACTAAAATAACTGAGGAGAATTTTTTTTTTTTTTTTTTTTGAGACAGGGTCTCAACTCTGTTGCCCCGGCTGGAGTGCAGTGGTGTCATCATAGCTCACTACAGCATCAAACTAATGGGCTCAAGTGATTTTTAATTTTATAATCTTCGACTTTGCTGCTGAATTCATTTATTAGCTCTAACAGTTTCTGTGTGGACTCCTTAGGGGTTTTCTACATATAAGATCATGTCATCTGCAAAGAGAGATAAATTTACTCTTTCCTTTCTTATATGGATGCCTTTTATTTCTTGTTGTTGCCTAATAGCTCTGTCTAGGACTTCCAATACCATGTTGAATAGAAGTGTGGAGAGTTGGCATCCTTGTCTTCTTATCTTAGAGGAAGAGCTTTCAGCTTTTGCCATTAAGTATGATGTTAGCTGTGGGCTTTTTATATACGGACTTTATTATGTTGAGGTAAACTCCTTCTTTACCTAGTTTGTTGAGGGTGTTTATCATAAAAGGGTGTTGAATTTTGTCAAATGCTTTTTCTGCATCTATTCAGATGATCGGGTGATTTTTATTCTTTGTTCTATGAATGTGGTATATCACATTAATTGATTTTTGTATGGTGAACCATCCTTGTATCCAGGAATAAATCCCACTTGGTCATTGGGTATGATTCTTTTAATGTGCTGTTGAATTTGATTGGATAGTATTTTGTTGAGGATTTTTGCATTTATGTCCACCATAATATGGTATGAGCCTTTAGTTTTCTTTTCTTATAGTGTCTTTTTATGGGTTTGGTATCATGGTAATGCCGAACTCATAAAAATGAGTTTGGAAATGTTCCCTCCTCTTCAACTTCTGGGAAGAGTTTGAGAAGGATTGGTGTGAATTCGTCCTTAAATGTTTGGTAGAATTCATCAGTGAAGCCGTGTGGTCCAGGGCTTTTCTTTGTTGGAAGGTTTTTGATTACTGGTTCAATCTACTCATTTGTTAATGGTCTGTTCAGATTTTCTGTTTCTTCATGATTCATTCTTGGTAGGTTTCTAAGAATTTATCCATTTCTTCTAGCCTACCCAATCTGTTGGCACATAATTATTCATAGTAGTCTCTTATAATCCTTTTGAAATCTGTAGCATCAGTTTTAATGTCTTCTTTTTTATTTCTGATTTTATTTGAGTCTTCTCTCTTTTTTCTTAGTCTAGCCAAAGGTTGGTAATTTTGTTTGATGGTTATTATCAAAAAAAACCCTAAAAGATAACAAGTGTTGGCAAGAATATAGAGAAATTTGAACTCTTATACAAATTTGGTGTTGATGGGAATGTAAAATGGTGAAGCCAGCATGGAGGATCCTCAAAAAATTACAAATAGAACTACTATATGATCCAGCAATGCCACTTCTGGGTATATAACCAAAAGAATTGAAATCAGGACCTTGAAGACATATTTGCACTCTCATGTTCATTCAGCATTATTTATAATAGCTAAGATATGGAAGCAACCTAAATATCCACCAACAGATAAGTGGATAAAGAAAATGTAGTAGACATATACAATTGAATATTGATCAGCCTTAAAAGAGAAGGAAATTCTGCCATATGTCAGAACATGGATGAATTCTGAGGACATTATGCTAAGTGAAATAAGCCAGTCACAAAAGGACAAATACTGGATGAGTCCACGCATATGAGGTATGTAAAATAGTCAAACTCATTGAAACAGAAAGTAGAATGGTGGTTGCTAGAGGCTGAGGGGAGGAGGAAATGGGGAGCTGCTGTTCACTGGGCAAAATATTTTAGTTATTTATGCAAGATAAGTTCTAGAGAACTGCTGTACAGTGTTGTTCCTACTGTTAACAATACTGTATTATGCAGTTAGAAATTTGTCAAAAGGGTAGATTTCACGTTATATGTTCTTACCACAACAAAAATAAATAAACATGATTGATATATTACTCCCATCCCAAAAAGAAAAGAAAATCTGTAAGGATATAAAAGATTTTACAAGCAACTTTTCTAACTGATATTTATAGAACACTCCACCTAACAACAGCAAAATACACATTGGAAAGAAAAAAATAAGTGTTTTTAATCGACATGACAATCAATGTAAAAATCATAAGGAATCTACTATTAGAACTAATAAATGAATTTGGCAAGGTCATAACATACAAACTCAAGACATAAAAATCAACTGTATTTGTATATGCCAGCAAGAAATAATT